GTGTATACATAAGGAATAATGCTTTGAGGAGCTATTCAGAACGCACTATTTAGGAACGAGTACTGTTGCCAGGCTAACTGTTTTGTTATTTGACCCACAGTACGATATTTACGCTTTTAGGGAGTTGATCGGCCTGTATTTTTCTAATTTTAAGATATTCCGACTATTTGTGATTTCCTGAAAGTTTTTTCCCAGTCTGCTCTGTCATATCTGACAGCCTAGAGTTTCCAAGTCAAATAAATGAAAATACAACGGTATATTTCTCTCAAATCGACTACTATAATCAAAGAAACACAATAGTTGAGTTTACGTTTAAGCAGACATACTGTTTCTTTGCGAAAAAACGTTTTCTCGTCTCAGTAATAAAACAAGTAACTTCTGGTTTATATTCAACTGCCTTCAATTTGGTCTAGTTATACAGTTATACTGTATACAACGCTGATCCACCAACGAATAGTAGACAAGATACTGTTAATTTATCCTCTATAGTGACCGAATTTCACATATTTGTAAGTGACATCAGAAGTTCATAACAATTATCTCTATATAGCTTATTATTATTATCACGTTAATTAATTTATACCTATATCACTGAATGAGGATGACGTTTGTTTAATGTTCCTATGATCTTTGCTATTCAATTGTAAGCGATAATTGTAACTATGAATAATGTGTTATAACACGATAGCAATAACAACATCCATTTTAACTTTTTTGTCATAAAGCAGTGATATATTCATTATTTTAAAAACATATATCTTAAATCCTATTTATTAGAATTAGTTTTGATCATTTACTCAAGGTATATCATTATCAGGTCTTTTTCCGCTTTCATATATATTCTAATATTAGGAATTTTGCTTACTCTGAGGGAACAAATAATATAAGATAGAACTTCAGTTAAAGTAGACACGAAATAAAAATAGATCTGATATTACATGTTACTATACTGAATATTGCACTGACGTAGGGTGAAATAACACATAATAAATAATTACATCAAATTACAAATATATTACTAATATTATCAATAAGATAATGAATAACATGTCACAGTTTTATTGTCTGAAGGTAGTTATTATTTTGCTGAAAACCAATATTTTACTCGAAGAGAATTGCTTTGCATAATCTAACAAATAGTTATTTCAATAGTCGAAATCATGAGTCAACTGACGCTAGATCACTATGGAAAACCTGGAAGCACAGGATGGCTGTTTCATTCTATGATGGGACTCCTCAGTAGTGCGCACCCACGATCCCGCTCGCAGGATCATGGGTTCGAATATGCTCACTAGCGACTGGCTTCAAGATGTATATCCTGGAGTTCTAGTGAGAAGCAGTGACCAGTGGAGTTGTTGTGAGATCTGTTGTGAGATAGCAACTCACTGATGACAATGGTGGATGTGTCGCACAATTTCGTGGATAAGTTGAAGTTAGACATTAACACCGTTGGATAGGTCCTGTGTTCGCATCCCGCGGGCAGGATCGTAGATTCGCACTGCTGAGGAGTCCCACGATAGGATAAAATAGCCGTCCAGTGCTCCCAGGTTTTTCATGGTGGTCTAGCTTCAACTGACTCATGATCTCAACTACTGAAATTACTACAATCCCTCTTATGTGGATATCAAATTCTAAACTTGAGTTTGATAGGAAATCCTTCTATACTAAGCGAACCGCTCTTAAATATAGTGGTATTGTTTGAAGTATAAGTAAATTTAGTCAATAAAATAAAATAGACTTTAACTTTGAGAACTGAACGTGACAGAAATACAGTTTATTTCGTGAAAACAAATGGCCGAATAGTAAGGAAACACTGAATTCTCTCATTCTGATGACTGGTTAATGCAACGACGAAAATCTCAATATAATATCTAAATGCAAGGGACCAACGAATCTAAGTTTACTCAGCTATACCGAACAAAGTCCTTCTGTATAGTGTATTAAGTTTTTTTAAGTCATTCGCATGTAATTCTATCAAACATTGCTCGCAATCTAATGTGTTCTAATTTAACTAAGTTAACCAAGTATAATAAAAGTACAAAATATTTCAAACCGCACAGCTTATGCTAAGCACTCAAGGGTTTCTCTCGGATAAAATAACTTGCTAAACATCCAAAGAAGTGGTTAATAAATGTGATTAGCACTTAAAAATCAACGAGAGTATTCCTAACAAAATGGGACTAAATATTTGTTTGCAATGATTCAAGTAATCGTTTTCAGAGTGTTCAAAGGTCAACGAATCCGTAACCTCGAGTTTAGTCAAACACGACCATATTGTCCTTGACCTGGCTGAAGTGAAACTAAGTAATAAAAGTAAATCTTAACCAAAGTTGAAAAATAAAAGCCTAGACAAAGAAGACTGAGGAACATAAAACGTAGTTACAGGAGTCATGAGTAAAGGTATAATACAAAAAGGAAATAAAGGAACAGTGATATGGTCCAATAGATCACTTTGGAGTGATTCTCGCAGTATCCCTTCTATTACAGTTAGGCTGAAGTTTTTAGAAAACAGTTGTGATTCAAATTTTACACATGCTTCAGACGACCAAAGTTCTAGCCGTGTTTTTTAAATGCTGTAACTGAAGTTCATTAATGCAACAGTTAAGATCAGTTTCTTTTAATGTATACATATTCACAACTATTGCCGTGCAAATTAAAGTCCCTAGATTAGTTAGACAAATATATTTCTCAAGAATTGTAACAACTAAACAATAAATTTAATTAGTAATGGTTTGGATTGTTCCGTCGTTGATATTTTGGATGAAATTTAATCAGTCTCGGATGCACAAGTGAGTGGCTATCTGGACTCGATAACTAAGTGGATAACACGTTTGCGTTTAAAACGAACGGTACTGGGTTGGAGATCCAGGGTGAAGGTCAATTCTTGGATGTATGTACATCAATCTTAAGAGTCTGAAATAAAAAGAAACGCATATCCTGGATTCCGCTGTTACCCATATTCTATCTATTCGACAGAAATTAAACACCTGATTGTATATCATATTGTAACAGTCTAGCTCAACCTCACTGGTTATCATACTTGTTTTCATCTCTTATTTACTTACTTACGCCTGTTACCACTACTTTCATTTCTATTGCTCATTAAAGAAAAAAACATTGTAGAGAATAGCTGTACACCTACAAAACCTTTCTATGCGGTGAGAAATGTTGGATCAACTGACGATATAATTGTCCTACGAAACAATGAAATAGTAGGCAGAACATTAGTGATAAATTATTAATGACGGCATAAAAAAGACTGTCTATTTAAGCCTTGTAATTTCTTTATCGTTATTGATAAATCCCTATTCAAACCAACAATTATTATCATGTGACTTTGAAAAGTTTAGTTATTGTTTTATCGGTTTTGGTAACTGTTCAAAATTTAATCTTGTTTTATATACCATGTTGTCACACTTCTTTTTTATTTCGGTTTAATCGAGATGTTTTAATTAACTCATCAGATCGACACCTGAGTTTTACGTTTATTTATTTTCGGGAGTTTAAACAGTGATCCTAGGTACATGTAATCCAGTAGAACAAAAAATAACTCAATTTTATCATTAGTTTAGAAACGAAATAATCATTTTCAACACTTTCATACTGAAATTCAGAAGTGGACCTTGATTGATCGAAATTTACTTTGATCCTTTAATCATCAATTAAAGAAAATATACCGATCACTGAGATGTCTCTTTTCAGTTTTATTTTTATTTAGATAAAATATATGTTATAATCATTACATAAAAATCATTTGAGTAACCAGTGCATTTAATAGATATTACGGGTTATTTAAAAAGTAAAAGTACATAGTTTAACCACTGTAATGCTGAAAAAACGTTTCTCTAGAAATTTAGGTAACAACACCTTTTAGGTATAAGGAATGTTACATGATCAGATGAGTACCTATACCATATCAATAAATTAGATGTTTTATCGGTGCATTCGATTTAGAGACATTTTTAACCACTAGTAAAATGTAAAACAAGCGTTTCGATTGTCCTACGATCAGTTATTCACTGAAATATTGATAACGTTTTCTATTCATGTTAAATAATCTACGTGCCAGTTACTCTGACGCTTAAAGACTGGTCGCTGAATTCACGACAACTAGGATATAAAGGAAATACATATTTAAGATTCGCTAACAAGGAAGACATTTCAGTTATC